CACACACACACACAGACACACACACAGACACACACACACACACACACACACACAGATGCAGCCATTGTGTGTTGTAGAATCTATTGTCGTTGTTTGGCTGCCAAACACATGAAACATTGTGCGCTATTTGTACCCACCGTCAGATATCACCAAGCACAACTGTACGTCAAATGGAAATGAAATGCAATGCATTGACTTGAATAAGCAATCATTGTGGCCACTTTCTTGCACGCCGGGCATTCCCATCATCATCATCTCACCAAAAGGGCTCATTTATAGACTTCAAGCAGTTTGCACGGCCAAAGAAGGTACAGGTATGGGGTGTGTCGAAAAAGTTCCCAAAGTGGACCTATTTTCAACCCAAACGTTTGTGTGTTCCCCTTCAATGTGGGACAGACAATCAACCAAAACATCTCCAAAGTGATCCTGTGACACTTGACGGTTGTGGCGGGACAACTCGAGGCTGCTCACAATGTCCCGAGCGTTCCACAGTTTCTGGCTGAGAAGAACATTGCCACACTTGCAGTCACTTGACCTGGCCCCGTGTGATTTTTTTTTTCCCCCCAAAGGTCAATGAGGGTCATCAGGAGGAACCGTTTTGAAGAGGTGGATGACATCAAGACGGCCATGAGGATGAAGCTGAAGAGGGTGTCGAAAGAATGCTTCCAGGAGCGTTTGAAGGCGTGGCACAGAAAACTGGGAAAGTGTGCTTCACTCGGGAGTGGGCTGGGGGCTTACTTTTGGGGTGAAACTTGTCGTTTGGGTTTGAAATATGTCAAAAGCAAATACACCCAGCTCACTGATTCCTATTAGCAATGTGACAAGTGGCCGCCATCTTCAAACCTGATCTGAACACATCAAATGCCTCGAAAATCATCGGTAACAAATAAATTAATGGGGGGGGGGGGACACTGACTGTTTCAGTACATGAACTAGTCTACTGCCCACAATGCTCTTCTCCCCATTAATTTTCCCTTTGCCCTTACGAAGTACATAAGATGCAAATGAACAAAAGCACATTGAGTCCAGTGCTCTTTTTTCCTCAATTGTCTGTATGGTTTGACTTGGCAGATTCATCCTCCACCACCAATTATTTCTCAGAATGGTTTTATAGTTGCTAACTCCATGACAATAAACAACACGTCTTACCATTGTCAGCTCCCATTTTCCCATCTCGCTTCGTTTCTTACGGGGAACGAGTTTCCATCTTCTCTGGACTTGAAATTAACTTCCAGTTGGCGAGACGGTCCCTTTTAGGGCTGCATGCTTGTTCCGGTCAAACTTGCACAAATTGCCGGACGGGGTTACATTACCGCGTTTGATTAAACTTATAAATACGTTAGTAAATAGTGGAAAGTGTTGCCTACATTATACGGACGAATATTAAAAAAAAAAGCCAAGGGGGCGCGTTTGGCGTGCCTGGCAGGGAGATACGAATACAGCACTGAAGAATCTCGGAACACGGATCGGTAACACCGGTGCCACTCGCTGCTTTTTTATACAGTGGGAGGGGCCAAATTGGCGGAGAGGCGGGGTGCGCCCCGCTCGCCAGCCAATCGTTTCTGCTTTTTCACTTCCGGTTACACCTACTCCCTAATAACAGCAGTCAAGTATTGCACTTTTTTAATGCCGTTTAGTGGATTTTATACAGGGGTGCACACATAAGTTTGGTGTGGTTCTCAAATGAGTACGAGAAGTATTTTGTTTGGTCCTCGTTTTGTTCCACACCCCCTTTCCCCGCCCTGAAAAAAACCCTGGTTCAACTCGGAGACAAACAGCGCATTTACTACCAGCACACTATTATTTTGTCCATTTTTGTTTGGTGTTGGGAAGCACCACAGGATGGTCAAAACATGAACTGTCATTTCCTTCAGTCTCAGTCTACCTTAATCAAAAAGGAAAAATTCATTAAGAAAAAAAAAGTACCGCGCTTCCTGATTTCAACACGTTGGTTATAGATTACATTTTCAAAGATGAGCCTGTGTGAGTTCTGTCAATGTTTTTCCTCCACGTTGTTCACTCAGAGTAGACATGAAGCACCCAGAGAGGTTTACGATGCCGCATACTGATCATTGCTTCAACTTGGAAGTCAGAGGTTACATGAGCTAGACAACACATGGCCTGCCATTTTGAGCGTCATCTCAAACAGAGCACATTTTATTTCATCTTGGAAACTACTGACAAGTAACTAAATTAACCACATTCTAACTTGACATGGCCCAACTTTCTAACGAAGAACATGTTTGTGTACTGTGTTTTTAGGAAACAAAATCAACACATGACTATTATATCGCAATATGTTTTTGAGCGCTATCTCTCAGAGATAATGAACACCATGTGCTCAACTGCGAGCTCGGTTTTTAGTTTAGTCTGTCCTGAAGAGTTCATTGTGAATCCACGTTAAATCATTGACATTTCGTCAGAGTTGGAGACTCGAGCCATCTCGACGTGGACTCGTTCGAGTCGCTGTTTTGATGACCTGTGAATTGATTTGAGACAGGATGACAGACCTGGTTTTTGTGGATTTTATTTTGTTTGTTGAAAGATAAAACGCACAAGAGATCAGATGTTGGTTTTTAAATAGCGTACAGTTGAGTTAAAAAGTTTTGTAATAAATATGGTTTTCAAGTCAATTAAATGTCATTGATAAACAGGAAATGGAGTTGGGATGGTTTGAATCAAAAGTTAAAAACTGTACATGGTATGAATATGGCTTTATAAACCCATCCAACCATTTTTTTTTTAATCCGCTTCTCCTCATGAGGGTCGCGGGGCGTACAGGTGCCTATCCCCAGCTGTCTTCCGGCAGTTCGCCCTGAACTGGTTGCCAGCCAATCGCAGGGCACGCATAAGCGAACAAACATTAATATTAAATCGATGATTATAAAAGTTGTGTTATGTAGAGATGTGCACGACTTGACATGAAAGTGGAGACTTGAGATTTACTTGAGACTTGTGACTGGGTTTCATGCCTGTCTTGCGTTTGTGGATTTCTGGAATTCAAAGCCCTCAGAGAAAGATGTGCACAGAGGTTACACTGTTGTCAAGGAATGCAGACAAACATTTCTTTATCGACACAAGAGGCAGATAGGCTACTCGTTACACAGTATTTGCAATCATATGACTTGGGTGTCAAATCATGCATCGTCGGGGGGCGTCCATAAAGGCTTTATAAAAAGTTTGCTGCAGTTTAACAATCACCACCTAAATCATGAGGTTCCAGGAGAAAATGCCATTCAAATGTCAAATGAATATCGAGACCTTTGAGACCAATCACAGCAATTCGATTTCTGAAGATTCGGAAGTTCAAAATGTAAGACTTCTGGGAACATTCCACTTTGTAGTTTGGAGCCCCTTGAAATAAAAGAATATTTTGCACTTCAATTGATCATCATATGACCTACTGAAAGGAGAATGTAAACATCCCTCACCCTTAGAATAACATCCATACATTTTTTTCTGTGATGTTTTGCTGAGACGACAGATGGCTGGCGAACGCACAAACAGTCATCAATGGTTTGGCCAGAATGACCACGTGAGCGCAAGCAAGAAAACCAACATTCTCAATAATCCAGCGGTAAAATGCATTTCTCCTGTCCACCAATGTTCACCGTTGAACTTGCATATAGAAATCAGGCGTGGGTCGAAATGAGCTTCTGACGGTGTGATAACCATGGGCATCCGTTTTTCCCTGAAATTTATGGCACTTGAAATGGAGATCTCATCGCTTTCATGATTGACCTTTGATATTTCAATATTTGGCATGGATACATATTCACTCGGCTCTCACGCACGTGCCGTTTCTCATCATCCGGGTTGCTCATATCAAGGGCCCCGCTGCGGCTGCTCGGGTGTTCTCCATGGAGACTGGAGTGCGCGCCAACCCTAAGTGGCCGGCATGCTTTATTGATCACTCGAGAGCGATGACGCACAATTGCTGAATAAACAACCTTTTGTGAGGCGCCTCCTGAATTATCAGTAGGAGTGCCAACCGATCCAAATGAAGTCGTATATCTTGCAGCACATATCACGCTCGTAAATGGTTGAGGTCCGGGCACTGAGATGACCTCGACAATGTTCAGTATGAGACTATGCTTCTGCAAATAAGAAAATATTTGAAGGCTTTTTAGCATCTTAACCAGTCATGCCAATAATTATGGCGGGCTCTGTATTTTTTAATTTACTGCCATAGAAAGGCAAGGCAAACAAACGTCCGTGTGCATTCTCGGTCATCAACCAGCAAAAGCAAACAAAAGTTGGAAAGGCAACACTTCCGCATCACTGGGAATTTGCGAGCCCGATTGCAGGTGCCGTATAATACTGAGAACGGAGACATTCTGAAACACGTCCGCCGTTATTTTGGCATTTCATTGAAATTGCTTTTGAGCAGGTGCCCATGTTTTCAGCAACTTTTGTTGAAAGTCAGACAAATATCAGCAGTGATATGAGGACCGAAACTAAATCCATAAGGACTGTTGAGTGGACTACAATGAAACATGTATCATGCTGTGCACCATCGCTAAGGGTTAGAACGCATGCCGTCTTGTGTGCTTGTCAATGCAGTTGGTCTCCAATGGGCGGGGGCTGGTGTGCTGTGGGGGTAGCTGCATGTAAACGTTCTCGTATAATGACGACTAAAGATATGAAATATACAAAACGTGTTTACTTTTATTTCCAAAAAACATTTGCAATTCAAGCCATACACAAAAATTGTCATTAAAAAGTGACATTAAACGCAGTACAAAATATGCTTCAGCACATCAGATGTGACATGCAGTGCGTACGCAGCCTCACGTTGGTCAGACGATGGCTTTGGAGTTTAAAACAAACCCCCCAAAAAAAAACAAACACACAACAAACCAAAAACTAAGTAATGCACGATTATACATTTCCAAAAAAATTGCTTTAAATCTTACCTTCATGTAAACACACATGCACTGGTGCTTTATTTGCCACCAAAAAGTACGAATATGGATGTTTACTGCACTGCAAATATACAATATAAGCTTAGACGTTAAAGTCCAGAAAGCCGCATAATAAATAAATATGTGATGTACTGTACGTCTCTGAATTCCTTAAACGCAAATCCTCTTTGAGACTGATCGTGTAACATACAAATGCGGTTATCACCTGAGGGTTCCGAGAAGCATCAGGATCTTTCTTGTGCTCTGTGATTATTAGATCTGCTCGCCATCACGCCACATGAACGCGAGCAGGGAGGACCCGCTCTACTGAGCTGCCGCATTCTTGTTCTTCTTGTTCAGGACTTTGCGGAGGCTCTCGGGCATGAGGTATGGCCTCTCGGGACTGCCATCGTTCCTCTCAAGATCCTCCACTAAAGAGAGAAAGAGGAACAAAAACAAAAAGTTCACTTTGACGTGATTAGCATTGTTTGACTTGGGCTTTATCATAAAAAAATAAAAAAAATAAAAAAAAAACGTCTCCAAGTCTACTTCAAAAGATCACATTTGAACTTCGAATCCCGAATCTCGTTTCCATGAGTTCCGCTTTATTATATCAAGTACATTGGCAAACATGTCAAAAGTTCGGAGGCGTTGCCGTCCAAACTAGGTAAGACTCGCAGTAAAAACGGAAAAGCCGACGGTACCCGTACAAGGCAAATCAAGCTTCTAGGTCATTCAGTGTTAGCACAGATCAATTACTTTCGGGCTTCTAACTCTCAATTTTTACATTCTAAGATGCATTCACATGATCAGTAAATTAGGAAAGTAGGCACATAAGTGGTGTCAATCAAATGGCTACTGGCCGGCAGCACAAATACATTACAGCCAAATCACCCCCCCGCCCCCCTAAACTTTTTCCATTGCGTTTAACACTCCGGGAAAACGGCAGACATTTCACACATGTCGTTTGGAGACGTGTTGACAGTACCGGTATTCAGCTGTCTTAAGATGACTTGGGTGCTCATTAAACTTCCCTGTTTTGGATACTTGCCACTTCTGAGCATGCCTGCGAGAGATAAGGCTCAAAAAAACAACAACAAAAAAAAAAAGGAGACCCATCTCCTTCGTTTCAAAGTAAAAGCTAAGTGTCTTTGTCAAAATTCCTTTCTATGAACGATGCGGCCTCCTCTTTAAAGTGTTTCTCTCCACTGAGTTCTTCATCCGGTAGCGGAGCAGAAGACGGTGGACCCTCCGCCTTGTTCTTCCAGAGAATCTCACGGAGAGTAGCGGACATGTAATAAGGCCTCACAGTGGAACCATCGTTCCGCTCCAGGTCTTCACCTTCATTTGCGTGTGAATGTGTGCCACGTTCATGAATGGGTGAGACGTTGAGTTATGAGGTCAAGGTGAGAGGAAAGGTGTTAAAATTGGCAGGGAGGAAAGAGGATGGGAGTGCGTTGAGGGGAAGGAGGGGAAGAGACAAAAAGAGAAAGTCAAATAGCAGGCAAGCAAGCAAAAAGTCACCACAAATCCCTTGTTCGGAAAAATACTTTTTTTTTTTTGTGGGGAAGACTTAGTAA